TTATTTTAATCTAAGATCTGAATATGCTCGTTACTGATAATTTTTTATATATTGTTAAAATATATTTTTTTATCCTAGGCTTATTTTTAAAAGTATTCTATCATCCCGAACCCGGAGCTTGTTTTATATATACATACACTGCCGTCGAAAAGTTTCCGGACATATAACTTAAAATTGCATAATATTCAGGTCATCGTAACTCGGTAAAAAATCATCGCAGACGAAAAAATAAAAAAGCATTTTAAAGCTTAAAACTTATACTTTAGCATGCTTTTGACCGTTTTTCAAAAAAAATTTTGTCTTTACAGTTCTGTATCTTAATAAATATCACGTTATTGTATTTCTTAAAATTACGTACATTTAATAGTGCGCAGTTTGATAAAAATTTTTTTTTCAAAAAGTTCAATATTTTTGAAAAACAGTACAAAGATTTACTTTCAAAATGCTTTTTAAAAAATTTTCTTATAATTTTTCTTGACTGAATTACGCATCATTGAAGCTAAACCTGTATAGCTCGCAACCAACATTACAATTCGGTGAAATACCATCGTAGAAGTATTTTGAAGCTCGAAGTTTGTACTTTAACAAGCTTCTGATTGTTTTTAAATTTAATTCTACAGAATTGAGAAGATAAAATTTTTTTTGATGATTTTTTACCAAGTTTCACCGTTGATTATTTAGCAATGCAAATTTAGCTTCAATGATGCGTAATTCAATCAAGAAAAATCATAAGAAAATTTTTAAAAAAGCATTTTGGAGGTAAATCTTTGTACTGTTTTCCAAAAATATTGAACTTTAAAAAAAAAAAATTTTTATCAAACTGCGCACTGTTAAATGTACGTAATTTTAAGAAATACAATAACGTGATATTTATTAAGATACAGAACTGTAAAGACAAAATTTTTTTGAAAAACGGTCAAAAGCATGCTAAAGTATAAGTTTTAAACTTTAAAATGCCTTTTTATTTTTTCGTCTGCGATGATTTTTTACCGAGTTACGATGACCTGAATATTATGCAATTTTAAGTTATATGTCCGGAAACTTTTCGACGGCAATGTATATATATGTATAGGTGTATAAATATTTTATATAAAGTATACAAGGTAAAAGTATATAAATTCTCATTTTAAAAGATCCACTCAAATATCTTATAGGCCTTCTACAATAAGCCATAACTCAGAAATTCTAAGCGATCTTAAGTCATAATCGGTGAAGTTGGCCAATGGCCAACTTGAACGACTTGGTTCAGACTGGTTAAGACTTCTGACGTTCTGACTTGCGGCTTATTGTAGAAGGCCTATAAGAAACACTGCGTCAAATCGAAAAGTGTTTCAGACAAAAGTTTTGTGACTTCGAGGGGGACATAAGATGGTATTATTGGTTTGACCTTGGATGGCGTTGTCAAGGTCAAGGCAAGGTCGCTTTGAATTTTTTAAATTAAGTACATTTTCATTAAGTACTTTGCGAGTTATAAAGCTCGGAAGTTACAGTACCAGTATTAGCATTACCCAAGATGTCCGACCGACGGCTAAAACCTCTTGAATGTTGTTCAGGATCATGTGCTGAATAACATTTGTTAAGATCAAGGTCATTGGAAATCATTGTTTCTTTTATTTTTATTTTTACATAAAAATGAATTTTCAGTGCAAAAATGAAAATAAGAAACAATCTCCAGTGACCTTGATTTTAACAAATGTTATTCAGGACATGATATTGAACAACATTCAAGAGGTTTTAGCTGAGAATCGGACATCTTGACTAATGCCGACGGTACTGTAATTTTCAAGCTTTATAACTCGTAAAGTACTTAATGAAAATAAACTTAGTTATAGTGTTTTGGAAAGCTCTCGGAGATAAGTTACAAGAATATGCAATGAAAAATTAAGGGTTTCATACAAAAATTCAAAGTGACCTTGCCCCGACCTTGACAACGCCACCCAAGGTCAAACTAATAATACCATCTTATGTCCTCCTCGAAGTAAAAAAAACTTTTGTCTGAAACATTTTTCGATTTAACGCAGTGTTTCTGAGATATTTGAGTGGGTCTTTTAAAATGTGACACTTTGTATATTCAAAATACATAGAAGGAAAAAGAGGCACCCTGTATATTGTCACAAATCGCTAAAAGTCAATAACAAACTGTAATTTTCCAATTTTTGTTCGTCTTTCATATTAAGGGGATGCTGGAGTGACGGTCGAACTTAATCAAGGTCGATAGTACAGATTTTTAAATTCCAAATTTGATAATAGTGACATCTTTCATTCATTCTTTTTTCATTTCTTATACTTATTATATATCGTTGTGTTTCGCTCAAACGCATTCATCTGTCCTTATCTAACATATTGTAACGCCATCTCTTAGAAAAAGATCAACTAAAATACTGCTCGGTTGCATGGCTTCACGTTAATTTCACTCGTAATATACAAACGAAATTTTCGCCGACTCTTTTCTCTTATACCTCGTTTCTAAAAACATAAGATTGTTCTTCGAGATTTTCTGTAGGCTGCTGGCTACGTATTTTAAACGGGTAAAATCTGAAACTCTTATATGCAGCACATATTGTGACGAGTTGACTGCAGAAGCCCGGTGACAAAACTACAATTTTTAATTTTATTTCATTTTTCGTATTAAATTGTAACTGGCAGCCTGTGTCGTTGTCCATACTGTAATTGTGGAGAAGGACTTTTCAATCCATAAACACAATTAAGAGAAGAGTTTAAAAATTAATGGTAAAACAGGACACTCCAGCATCCCCTTAAATCGTTTGGCCCATGTTGCGTTATTGTTTATACGTTAATTTTGGAGAAGAATTTTTAAATCTTTAAAATACATAGGAAAAAAATTGGTTAAAAAATTATTGCGTTCGATCGATAAAATGGACATACTAGCACCCCCTTAATGGTGTATATAAAATTGAGCATTTATAAAAATAATTTACAGGTAGATGAAAATGGAAAAATCCACCGTTTGAGACGAGAATGCCCTATGGAGCAGTGCGGCGCTGGTGTATTCATGGCAGCAATGGAAGATCGTCATTACTGTGGCAAATGCGCATACACGCTTGTATTCAATAAACCAGAGGAAAAATAAATTTCTGAAATATTCTCCACGTACACATTCTGCAAATGTTACGTCCTTATTATTTTATATATTTCATTTGATTAAATCATTTAATCAAAATCGTTATTCTGTCTTCAGGTATTTTATATATTAGATTAATCCTGCAAATAGTTAATTTTATAGGGCTCTGAGAATAAATCAATTAAAAAGGGATAAAAAAGCCAATTAAATTAATCTTACTATTATCACACTGTGTATAAGTTTATTATTTATTTATATATTTATCTTCATTTGCTCTTAAACTGATAGGTCTTACTCTGTGCAATTAGCTTTCGGATTTAGTCCGTACATTATATAGTTTCAACGTTCATAAGATATAAACACAATAATTGTTTTACTAATTCGATTTTCACGTAAATCGATTTTAAATACTTTATACAAGTCTGAGGCATAATAATTATATCTCTTGTTTATAATTAATTAAGGTACGTAATATCTGTTGTTAACAATTAGTGACTACTATGTTATTTCTGTAGTTTGACACATAATTTATTGGAATATTACAATGGTTCAGCTTGAATCATTATTTTATCAAAACGACTGGTGTTGGTTACTTGGTGCACATTGGTTCAACTGATCACTGTCACAACTGGACTTGCTTCGCACTTTTGTAAATACTGACTCCATAACAATAATGACCTCAGATATATGTTTCGTACTTTGTACTTTAAATTGTGACAAATTGATGGATAAACTTCCGAAAACGTCATACCCCCGATTTTTATGAATTTTGGCAGAAACACTCTAAATGATGTCAAATGAATGCCTTTAAATGGATTTCCATCGACAATGCTAAAAATGTTTAAGTAAAGTTAGATACCACCTGCTGAATGAATTACCTTTTCATAGCTTACTCTAAATCACTTCTGAAGAACTTTGATATTGACCTTGACCTCTAAGAAGATATCTATCCCACTTTCGTGCGCCCCTAAACGGGGAGCGGTGAGATAAAACTCATTTCGTGGAATGTCGGACGCCCTGAAGCAGGGGAGGAAGTGGGGTGCGAGTCGCTTCGCATGGAAATTGCGCGCCCCTAAGCAGGGGGAGGTGAGGGTGAGAGTATTATTATACTTTCCTTCTGTATAGTTGTCTCCCCTATCCAACTGCTATATAAACCGCGATAAATATGTAATATACTAGAAATAAAATAAGTACAAACTTCTATAACGTCATTCAAATATTTTTGGCATTAAATCTCCGTGTTGGTGAAAATTCGGTAATTCTTTCGAATAGGGGACCCGCTCCTACGACCTTGACCTTGACATATGTTGTCAAGGTCATGACCCTGAGTAACCTCTAACAAGTTTTAGCCGTCGCTCGTCCTTCGTTAAAAAATTATTAATAAAAGAAGTTTGAAAAATAACGTATTATTTTTGCTGTATATGCAATATTAAATACTATTCTACATAGGTTTTGACTTTCAGGGGCGCACGACTCACCTCCGACTCTTACCTCTCCCTCCCTCCTGCTTCAGGGGTGCACGACTCTCACCCCTCCTCCCTCCTGCTTCAGGGGCGT